CTCAAAGCAAACTTTGCAGATTTTCTCTTATGTCTTATTGGCCAGAAGAAGGCCACATGCCCACCCCTCTACCAGGGACCAATCTGAGCTTCCCCGAGATGAAGCCATCTGCACCTAATAAACACCTGGACAATCAAGGCTCTGTCCAAAAGGAATAAGGGGGAGTGGCTTTTGGTAGCCAACAGACAATGTCTGGCACTACCTCTACCATTTACAGGCTAATGACTCTGGGCAAAGTGCTTAGCCTCTGTGAGCCTCAGCTTCCTCATCTGTGAAATGGGTAGAGCAAATAACTATTGTTTCTGCCCTCCTGGCATCCATTTTCTGAACTTCTCATCAAACATCCTGATTTTCCTTCAGGCTGTGGTCTCAGATCATCAGGGAACTTGCTCTAAATGCACAGCCCCGGCCCGGTCCCAGCCCTTCTGATTCAGACACATTAGGGTTGGGGCCAGACAATATGCACAAATGATGCTGTATTATAACGGCCAGTTTGTTGGTCTCTAAAAATAGTAGCAATATAAATGATCTAATAACAACAGCTAATTGTTACAATGTGCCAAGCACTGATTTCATTAATGCTTGTTGGGGGGTGTTGATGTCTGACCTGGTTCCTCTTGAAGGAAGCCCCAGGTGCAGGTGTGGTCAGCACACAGCCTCCATCTGCCTCCCCTTCAGAGTAGCCTCATCCAAGCTCAATTCCTTCCAGGGTGGCCCGCCCATGTCTGGGTGATGTGGGGTTATGAAAGCCTGGACATCTCGGTGCACCCTGGGACATCTCTGCAGGGCCACTGTAGCTGCAGAGCCTCAGTGGGGCCAGGGCTGTTTTGGGTCTGCCTCACAGCCCCAATTCTCCCTCTGCCCTCCCATGCTTCCTTCCATTCCCTTATACGGAGGCCTCAGTAAACACCCTCTACACTAAACTGCATCGCAGAGTCTGCTTCCTGGGGATTCTTACCCACGACTGTGCTCCCAGCAGCTCCATGTGGTAGACACCGCTGTTAGTCCCTTTTACAGATGGGGACACTGAGGCTCAGAGAGGGCAGTGAGGGGGTCCCAAGCCACGCAGCTGGTGAGCAAGGAGACATGGGATGGAAGCCATCAAACTTGTAAGAGGGAGGTGGCATACTCTGGCTTTAAAAGGGTGTCTGGCTGCTGAGTGAGGAAGAACTTAGGGGACCAGAGCAGAAGCAGGGGGAGCAGTGGGGAAATCACTGATTGCAGCAGTACTGGGAGAGGCCGGGGGCACTCCAGGGCGGCGGTGGGGACTTCCTCATCACTATAGCTCCTTCAGGTTCCGGCACAGAGCCAGACACAGCCAACGTGCTCGGTAAATGCCTCGTGAGTGAGTGAAGAAGTGAGAGCAGATGACAAAATCAAGACAGAAGGGAACTAGCTGTCCCCATGGCTGGCCTGTCCCGCTCACTAGGATCCTGAGTGATGAGCACGGAGCCCACCACGTCTGGATGCTCAGCTAAGGTGCTGAGTGAATAAATGAACAAGTTCGAGGGAGGGAGGGAGAGAGGAAGACAGAAAGAAAAGAGAGGAAGGAGAACAAAGAAGGGGTAGGAGAGGAGGAAGTGGAGAGGACTGAAAGGGGAGGAAGTTTCTTTTTAACTTCCTTGCACCGAGAACGAGGGTAACTTGCGACCTCTGCTGGCAAAGGAGAGCCACTCCACTGGATTGGGGAAAGAGGAATTCAGCCCTTGGAGTTGTGGGGCCCTGAATTCAGGGCACAAGAGGAAATTCTCAGTTCCCAAAAAGAGGGCTGAGGCAGGCCTCTGTAAGGACGTGGGTGCTCACAGTCAGGGGCTCTGTCAGTCAGTGACAGACGGTTAGGACCTGGGTGGGGCAAGAGAAGCATTTGCCTAGGGCACAAACTCAAGGTCGGCCCTAAAATTCTGTAACTGAGACAAATATTTTAACGCAATATTAAAAAGAAATCAAACTAGCAAACTATGGCCCTCAAGCCAGCTACCTGTTTTTGTAAATAAAACTGTATTGGAGGCAGGATCATGATTCGGGTTGACTTCCTCAGTTACAGCAAAGGTTGTATCCCACTTGCTTCACTAACACAGGTGTTCCCACACCCCCTCGGCTGGCTTGCCTCGTTTAACGAGAAGCACATGCCCATATGGAGCACTCACCAGGCCAGACTCGGGGAACTCCATTCTGTGGCCTGTGGACTGGCCACAAGAGTTCTTTTAAATGTTCCAGGAGATATGGACCTGTGTCCTTTTCAGTGTTGCATCACATTCCCCTGGCTCTACCATTCATTAGTGGTGTGATCTTGGGCAAGACTGAATTTCTCTGTGCCTCAGTTGTCTCCTCTGTAAGATGGGTCAATGCATGCAAAGAACTTAGAAACTGCTCAATAAAGTTAACTGCTGTTAAAAATGCTGGTTTGAATCCCAGCTCTGTCACTTACTGTGACCCTAAGATGTGATGCTTTGCATTGTTGAGAGTATTTCCTCATCTGTAATATGGGGGACATAAGTCCCATCTGGGAGGGTTCCAGTGGGAATCACACATTACTGCTAGTGCCTTTGGCTCAATGCAAAGCACAGGCTGTCCCCACGTGGACGTGGAGGGTTCCTTAGCCCTCTGTGAGACAGTGACCTGGGAAAGGAATCCACTGCTCACCTGGGAAAGCTTGTCAATCCTGATTTCCCAGCCTGGGTCACAGGCTGAATAGGAAGACAAATACTCCTCCTGGGAACACATATGAAGCCTCTCCAGTCTGCAGTCTCTCCTCTTCCCCTCAATGCATGCAGAGATCATTTTTGCTTCCCTACTGTAGCTGCTACCCGCACGGCCCCGGCTGCCATGTCACACGGACCAGTGGGTGCCACTCGGTTTGCAGGATGCTCGCCAACACCTCCACCTCAGGCTACCATCATCCAGGTTCAAACTTCTCCCTTGTTTCTTGCCTCCACCCTGGCCCCTTATAGTCCTTTTCCTACCAGTGTAATCCTTTCACAACATAAACCAGATGTCTCCTTGTTTAAAGCATCCCGAGTTGCATTAAGAATAAAAACCAAGCTTGTTACAAGGCCCCGTGTGATCCGACGCTTACCCACCTTTCCCATCTCATTTCCTGCTCCCCCTCCTTGCTGTCAACCAGCCACACCAGCCTCACTGTCCCTCAAAGGTGTTCCTCCTTTACCCACTTTGTACATGATGCGCCTTCCCCCATTTCCTGGTTCTCCTTTTTAGTCTTAGTTCCAATGTCACCTTATCAGAGGCTTTCTCTGACCACTCCTCCCTCCCCATCTCCTCGAGGGCACTCAGGCTCTCAGCATCCTTTACAGCCCTCATCACTGACACTCTCTTAGGTACTTCATTTCCCCTCTGTATCTCCAGTGCCTGGCACACAGGCAGCGCTGAGTACCTGTTGACTTAATGCCCGCACACACCATTCTCCCTGAGAGGTAGATGTTAGTCTTATTAGCTTTATAGGACATGAGGAATGAGCCCTCAGTCACGTTGAGAATATTCATTGAAAAAAATGTGGTCAGATCCTGTGGGCTTGGAATTCTTTGAAAATAATGTACTGTAAAGCCAAAACATTCTAATTATGTAAAGACATGTCATACCCAGCATCTCATTTCTTAAAGGATCAGTGGAAAGTCTATGGGCTTTGGAGACAGGGAAAAGTACCCCTTGCTACCTGAGACATCTTGGACAAGTTCCCCCTTTTTGAACCCATTTCTCCATCTTTCACATGGGGACAGTATCAAACTTAGTGTCATTTAAGATCCAGTGTGGAAACTCCTGGCACAATGCCTGATGTGTAGTAACGAAGCAATGATGTCCGTTCTCCTCTCTACTAATCACCACTACCCAGGAAGGAAGTTTTCACTTATTCCTGGGTATCTCCACAGGCAGGGTGATGACTGCAGTGAATGAAACCGACACAGTCTGAGTCTCACCAGAATGTTCGCTCCACAAGAGCAGTGCTTGTCCATCTTGCTCATCACTACACCTGGTACGAAATACAGCGCCAGGCACACAAAAGGCACTCAAAATATTGACGTGCTAGTTGGAGCTTACAAGGAGGAAAGGCATTTTATTATACCCTCTTCTCTCCCAACACACACACCCTCTCCGGCAAAAGAAACTGCAGCCGGGCAAGGTTAAGTGTGAGATATTTCGTGGCACTTTGCATCTTAATTCAGTTTCCTGCACCCTCCCTTAAACCAGGTTTTATCAAACTTCAGTCATTCCTAAGGTACTTCACTATTTTTGCTCAGTCTACTTAACTGCCTTTGATATAAATGAATTTACTTTTTTACCTACAGAAACTAAGAGGAACTTTACACCAATTACTTGTCTAAATTAGAAAATAGCCATAAAAACAGAGTAACAAAAATAAAAAGTCTTATACAAAATTACATAAATTTCAGTTGCCTGAAAGCTATGGGCCTGCTTTCTTTTAATTTAAAATTTTTAAAGAAGAGAAATTGGAGTTAAGCAGCATTTGCACCTTTTTTTCACCATGACCCTCAAAAAGAAATGTATTTTACATAAAAACCTAGTACATACCCTTATCTATATCCACATTTGAAACAAGTTTCATAGAGCAATACTTACAATACTACAGGTAATGCGCTCTGGTATTTTCTAATCTCTGATTCCATCTCTTGTCTAAAATGCTGGTTGTATCCCACTCTATTGGTTTCATGAGTATGTCATGAACACAACAACAAAAAAATGCTGGGTTAGAGGGCTGATAAAAACATACTGTCACCAGCTGAGACATTTTGTCCTTGTCTCACCAGAAGGACTGAAAGGGAGTAACATTCTCAGTACATGGTTCAGTGTTTGGTAACACCATGGCCTTGAATCTTAGGAACACAAGTCACAACTGCAGAGAAAGCCTGTCTGAGATTTATTCTGAATACCCAGTTCTGCCGGGACAGGTCTTATGTACACAGCAAGCTCTTGAGAACAGTAGAGCGCAGACGATAATGCCACTTATCAAGCACGATCACAGGGAGCACTTACAAATATCTCACTGCCTTTATTTAGGTTGAATCTCATATTCATAGCATCCCTTCAAATTCACTGGGAAGTGAACAGTTAAGCTTAACTGTCTGGAGTTGTCACACACATTCTTCTACCCAACCATGGACCTCTTTCTCCCTCTCAGGCGCACTTCATCTAGTTTTTTTAGCACTGGCCTGGCCTTTTTGGAGGAGGCGGAGTAACTCTGCAGAAAGGCTTCAAACACAGTCTCAGTGTTGGGATGGGTACTAAGGAAGGCTTTCTCTAACACGTACAGGTCAACTCCCTTATCTTCCGGAAGTCCTGAAATGAAACTCAGCCCAAAGTCGATGAGCACGATGTTCAGCTGTTCCAAGGGGGGTTTCAGGAGCATGTTGGAGGTGGTGAGATCACCATGAATGAGGTCTTCATCGTGCATTCGAGCCAAAACTTGCCCAATTGTCTTGGCTAAGCCGAGGAGACTCTGGGGAGATTTTTCAGCCTCCATGGTGGATTCGATATAATCTCGAACTGTCACTGAGCCTTCAATTTCCTCCATGAATAAGCAGTTGGAAGCATAGTCCACAAAAAAGACAACCGGGGCAGATATCCCTGCAACCAAGACATAAGCGGTTACTGAACTAGAATCTTCTTCCTCCTTTTTTTAATGGTAAGCTTAATTTTCCAAGACTGAGCCAGTTTTTTTACAGTGCGAATCTGTGTACTTCAGGGAAAAGATTTAGAAACGCTGCAGAATGGCACAACTTAACTCCTCTGGAAGTTTCCCCTGCAGAGCTGTGCTTAGACCACCCCAAGGTTATGGTCAACACTGCCAAAGCTCCCTCCTCCTTTCTACCCTTTATGACTGGACTTCATTTGTCATAATACTTATTCCCTGAAATACAAAACAAAGAGCCACATGGATAAGCACAGCCCAGTCAGAGCAGTTTCTATCTGACAAGGACACCAGCAAGAGGCCAAGCGGCATTTTGGTTTAGAGATTCATCTTTACAGACAGGAAAGACAACTTCAAATCCCAGCTCCCTTCCTTGTAGCTGTATAACTTTAAAGTCACATTAATTTTTCTAGCCTCCATGTCTGCTTCTATAATATGAAAACAAACTTCTAATAATTCAATGACTTCGTTGAATGCGAAGATTCAATGAATCTTTATTTAATGTCAATCACGCTTGAGACACTTCTAGATATTGGACACAAACTAGTAGGGAAACAAGAGGAAACAAAACAGCCATGATCCCTGCTTAACAGAACTTAGATCCTGGAGAGGATGAAAAGAGAAAATATGAACACATGAATAACTTCATTAAATCCAAGCAAGGGCATAGACCTGTCTGCTTGTTCGCTACTGAATTTCCTCCAGATCCCTCAGCACGTAACGTCTTGGAGCACCATAGATGCCTAAAAAATACCAATGAAATATAAGAGTGGAAAAACCAGTGCTTCTGAGTCAGAGGGATATGAGCTGAGAGCCTGGCTGGGTGGCTTACCAGCTGTGTAACTTTGGACAAGTTACTTCTCTCTGAGCGTGTTTCTCATCTGAGGACAAGGTTTATGGTGATGGTTCATGTTTTAATGAAAAAATAAACAACTGAATGAAATCTAATGTTTGTGGCGCGCTAGAATCAGTCATATGTTCCGACATAATACATGGCATACATATCTCATCTAACGGTCACGACATTCCTAAGAAATAGATATTGTTACAATCACTTCCCTTTACAGGTGAGGAAACAGGCTGAGGTTCTATAACTTTGCTGAAAGGCTATGTATGAAGCAGTGTAGTCAGTATTTGAATACAGAGAGCCTCGCTCCTGGGCAAGTTAATTACATCTGCTTCTTCAAAGTAATATATGAAAAGACAATGTTCGAAAATTGAGAAGGTACCAATGGGGAAGCTGAGGCTCAGGGCAGTTAAGTGACACATTAAGCAAGAGTGGCAGAGCCAGGAACTGAACCAGGCACAGTGGCTCCAGGACAAACACTCACTGCTGCAAGGCCAAGCGGCTTCTTAAGAACTAATGAATGATGAAAAGATACATGCACCCCAATGTTCATAGCAGCAATATTTACAATAGTGAAGACATGGAAACAACCTAAATGCCCACTGACAGATGACTAGATAAAGCAGCTGTGGTATACACACACACACACACACACACACACACACACACACACACGAATACTACTCAGCCATAAAAAAGAATAAAATAATGCTATTTGCAACAGCATGGATGGCCCTGCAGATCGTCATTCTAAGTTATGCCAGAAAGAGAAATAAAAATATCATATATCACTTATATGTGGACTCTTAAAAAAAAAAGACACAAATGAACTTATTTGCAAAAGAGAAACAGACTCAGACAGAAAGCAAACTTACGGCTACGGGGGTAGGGGGTAGGCGGGGATGGACTGGGAGTTCGAAATTTGCAGATACTACTATTTATAGAATAGATAAACAACAAGTTTATACTATATAGCACAGGGAACTGTATTCAGGACCCAGTGGTGGCCTGTAATAAAAAGGAATATGAAAACGAATATATGTATGTATATGGATAACTGAAACATACTGTACACCACAAATTTACACAACATTGTATACTGGCTATACTTCAATTTAAAAAAATAATGAATCAAAAGGATAGAAGGATGGCATTTCTTAACGTAAGGCCACGCAGAAAGTACAAATGGAGAAACTGAGGC